CCCAGGATGCCCTGGATCAAACCCACCTCCCTTTCCCCCTAACAGGCTCTTTCCAGTGCTGCTCTCGCTGTTCCCACAGCCCTGTCCGTGTTCCCTGTTCCCTTTAGGATCTGGCAGCCCCCCGAGCCCTAAAGGGCTGAGCTCTAAAAGTGGCTCCAGTGCACGGGGAGGCTCGGCCGGTGCTGCCGGAGCTGCGGGAGCGGGATGGCGTTATCAGCCTTTCCCAGAAAGGTCAGAGCCGGCTGCAGCGATCCACGGCCATTCCTGCGCTGTCACTTGAGACGCAGAGACAGCCGGCCCCGAGCCAGGGATGGGCTCGGATTGGGCTAAAGYCGTGGTGGACTGGCTGGCATTTGAGCCCTGTGATTCCTGTCAGAGTCAGGGAAAATTACAATACGAAAATACATAATGATGTTTTAAGCACTCGGGGTGGAAAAAAATAACCTCCGGTCATGGTCCTGGTCACTGTCGGGCACAAACACGGGACGTGGGACAGTCCAGCCCCCCCGGGATATTTGGGTGCTGGTCCTTGTCCCTGAGGGAAGGACACGACCATGACAATGTGTGGGCAGCACTGCCAGCCCATGGCCACATCCCTGCCCTGCTCCCAGGCTATCCAATTAAAGGAAGCATTTGGCACGTTGAGTGTCCTTGGAAAATGCCTTGTCCCCAACCCTCCCTTTGCTTCCTGCCAATGAAAAGTGTTTCCAGCCTTGTGCTGTCTTTAAAAAGCACTTAAATCCCTGGTGATAAATAAGGTGGGAGCTCTTGATCTGGAGCGGGGGGCTTTTCTGGGTCACCCRGAGCACAGCAGAGCTCAGAGGGGTGGGGGCAAAGGAATGTGGGGTTCAGAAGAGGGAGATTTCAAACTGAGATTTAAAACCCTTGAAAATCCTGAGGCTGTTTTCCAGGGTCTCAGCCTAATGGCATTTGTTGGGCTGGAAACCAGAGTGGGACCAGWAAAAGACCACCAAAACACAAGGTGGTGGCCAGGCCTCTTTGATAAACCACAGGCTCATCTCTGCCTCGTTTGTTTTCCCTCTATCCAGGCATCGTGTCCGTGCACCTCAGGAAGGACAGCCTTGGCAACCTGACCCTGCTGGCCAGCCCTGGCCTGGGGCAGCCGGACAGYGCTGGCACTGACCCCACCGTCACCCTGTGGCACAAGTGCAAGTGGGCAGCCAGTGCCAGCAGCGAGCACGGGCTTGTCAAGTGGAGCCACACCCAGGTCACCAAGACCTTCAAAGACAGGTGAGGTTCTGTCAGTGCCTGCAAATCTCCTGACTGGCATCTGCCACCTGGGTGGGGTGGGTTTGGGGGCCCAGCTCTGGGTTTMGGGTAAAAACAGAGCCTGGCTGAGGTGAAGAACAGCAGAGCCAAGCCCTGTGTGTGTGGTTCTGCTCTTCCCTGGTGTGGGGATGGAGTGGGGTGGATCTGGGATGTTGTTGCTCAAATATCTGCCTCAATTTTTGCTTTAAAGCGGGCTCCTTGCAGCAATGTGCTCCAGGAGAGGAGGGGCCTCAGGAGAATGGCCACCAAGCACGGGATGTCCCTCTGCTGGCAACAGAGAGGCTTCAATCCCATCCCATCCCATCCCATCCCATCCCATCCCATCCCATCCCATCCCATCCCACCCCATCCTACCCCATCCCATCCCAGGGGAGAGCTCCCAGCACACCACAACCCCCAGCTCACAGAGGTTTTCTGCAGGACATCCTTCATCCCAAAGTGGTTCAGAGCAGCCTTGGGCCAGCTGGGACTGAAGGTGGAATATTTCTGCCATGGAAGCGCTGCCTTTGGAGCGATGGGAGTGTGGAGTTGGGATGATCCTTCCAAGGAGAAAAGATCTCCTCATCGCTCCCCCACTCCCTCCCACCATCAGAGGCACCCCCTCCAAATTGGGAATCATTCCCATTGTTGGACCATTTGCCTGTGCTGTGCCCATTAAGTGGATAAATAGAGATCCCTGGCTGCTGGGGCTGTGAATGGCTTTTCAAGGAAGCCAGCACACTTTAAATTATAATGAAAAAAAAAAGTATTGGCAGGCAGCAATAGCTGGCTTTCTGAAAATTACTGTTATGGAGTAACAAAGGATCTCTGCAGGTTGGACATGATCAATATGCTTCCTTTGAGAGTCCCTGAAAATCCACCTTATCAAGTTTGAGGGTATGCAGAAAAAAAAAAAAAAAAAAAAAAAAGAACTAAGGGAATAGTCTCCTCTGGAGCTCATAAACCTGACGTGTCCCTTTGTGTGTTTTGTGTAGCTGCCCTGGGAAGATGCTTTTGAGGACAGACCTTCAGTACCACACAGATTCCCTTTTGGAAGATGCAAATGGAAACCAGCCAGAAAGGAAGAGCTACAACCCCTGGGGACTGCACTGTCACCGGCAGCACCTGAAYCGCATGTCCTCCAAGCTTAACGAGAACAAACTTCATCGTATCCTTTCTCCTCTCTCCCCTCCAGCACAGTCCTGGCTACAAATAACAACTCAAAATCAATGTAGGGTTTATTGCAGGGGGATGCATCCCTCCTTTTGCACAGACTCTGAGAAAATAAGGAATATGCTCTGTTATCTTCTCCTGCTGTTAAAAAAAAAAAGAAAACAACATTTCCCATAAAGAGTTCTCAGCAGAAGTCAAGGATCCCCTTGGCATACATTTAAAAACACAACCATACAGGAATTAGCAGCTGCCTCGCCTTTTATTTTCCTATTACACTTCATTACCCACCAGTCATGTGAGTAATAGACTTTAACAACTTCCCCCACCCACCGGAGCGAGCTCGGCACYGAGGGAAGGTGTCGGAGTGGCAGCCCAGGGCTATGGTGTCACTGGAGAATGGAGCTGTTGGGGCTTTAATTGGTAGGGCTGTAGTACAGTAAATTAACTGGAATTGGCAGCGAGAGGCCCATAGCAATGACACGTTGGAGAAATTGGCTCAGAAAGTCTCATTACAGTTGTGAGCTGTTCTGGAGAGCGTCAGCAGTTGCTTTGATTTAAGGCCTCTTTCAATTAGAATTTTAAAGAATTGGGTTTTCCTTAACTCACGCTCAGAGTTTCTCCTGCTGGAGAACGTGGTGTCCAAGTACAGCTATCCCTGCATCCTGGACCTGAAGATGGGCACTCGGCAGCACGGAGATGACGCCTCAGAGGAGAAGAAAGCCCGGCACATCAAGAAGTGTGAGCAGAGCACCTCAGCATCACTGGGTGTGCGCATCTGTGGGATGCAGGTAAAGGCTCAGTCTCCTCGCTGTTTGTCCCACACACGGCTTGGAGCCAAGCTGGAATCCCAGGGATTCTTGGCTGCTGTGAATAGAAACAGTTTTATTCTCTTTTCACCCCAAATACTGTAAAAAGTGGCCCACTTGGCTCTGTGTCCTCTCAGAGAGGGTGTCTAATATGGCACATTTAGGGTGACCCTTTTATCTGGAACCATTTACCCCATCTGAGAAGCTGCTTTTACACACAGGTTCCTGCTCAGCTCTTGGCTGCTGCACAAAAAAAAACCCCAAAAAGCACCACATTGCCCTGCTCGTGCCTTGCTGAGGTGCCTCACACAGAGGCTCATTCTGGGCTAAATTCCTCCTGCTGGAAATCCCCACCCTTCCTCCTGAAAACACAAACCACACATTTCCCTCACTCACWATTCTCAAGCAGGTTTCAAAACCCTGCCTGAAGGATAATTGTGAGAGTAATGAGCATGGGCACATAYAAAGCAAAACTACATATAAAGTCTAAACCTGTGTCCCTTTCTGATCTCTGACATCTTCCTTTGAGCAGAGTTGGCCTTTAATGGTCACAGTGTGAATCCCTTCCAACTCAGGATGATCCACGGATTATTCTTCTTTTCCCCCCAGGTCTACCAAGCAGACACTGGCCATTTCCTGTGCAAAGACAAATATTTTGGGAGGAAGCTCTCCCCGGAGGGATTCCGGCAGACGCTGCGGCAGTTCCTGTGCAATGGGAACCAGCTGCGGGTGGATTTGCTGGAGCCCATCATCCTGCGGCTCAAGGCCCTGCTCTCGGTSATCAGGAAGCAAAGCTCCTACAGGTTCTACTCCAGCTCCCTCCTCATCATTTATGACGGACAGGAGCACAAGGAGAGCACGGATCATCACCTTCCCTTCACCAAAACTCATAGCATGAACCCTTCCAGAGTGGATGTGAGGATGATTGACTTTGCCCACACMACCTTCAAAGGCTCCAAGAGCAATCCCAACCCCACCCCACACGACGGGCCTGACCACGGCTACATTTTTGGCCTGGAGAACCTCATCAAAATCCTTCAGAATCTGTCGGAAGGAAAATGAGAATTTCTGTGAAACAGCCTGGATTTCCTAGTGACCGATAGCCCTGAAAAATCCCGCCTGGGGTCAGCTGTGTGGGACCCTCYGGCTGCTGGATGTGCCGTGCGTGGCACGGAATGAGCACGGATAACTCGGGAAGTGCTGAAAACTCAAACTGAACTGAAGCATGAAAAGCAGAGAGCTGGAAGAATCTGTTCTCTCTCTGTCATCCATCAGAAGATTTATTTTCCTTTCCGGTTTTACTGCTGTCCTTGATTTATTTGTGAGCCAAAGAAAGCATTGCTTGGGAAGAGTCTTAATGATAAACCAGGAGCTGCTCGCCCTGCAGCCGAGCGGGAGGAGGGGGTTTGGGGCAGGAATGAACAGATGGAGCTTCCCTTTCTGCTCCTGCTCAAATTAAAAACACCCTCCGACATTCCCAGTGCTCCTGGTCAGGATTCTCTGTGCACGTGTTCAAATAYTCAGACCAAGAGCTGCACCTCGCCAAGCTTTTACATCCCTGTGGAGTCGTAACAGGGAATTTTCCAGGAATTTTCTAGGACAGAGGCTCCACTGGGGCTGGAAGCATGGGAATGCGATGACTCTGTCAGGTATCAGTCACAAAAAACATTCACGTCRAGGGATTTTTGCTTAAAAAAAAGAAAAAAAAGAAAAAAAAAAGTGTGAGATTGAGCCAGGGACTGGACGTCAAAGGTCACCCAGAAATTCTTTGATACAAATACTGTGTGTGTGCGTGTGTGTGTGTGTTTGAAGGAGACAGCAACAAAAGACTCAAATGTTTACAGCTTTTGTGGACAGATTTTATTATTATGATGATGGAACAAATACAATTCCTTCCTGCATGGTGTGGGAAACCTGAAGGAGAAGTCCTTGCACAAGGAACAGAGCTACAGAACTCCACTACCGGGGAGTGGGGATATTAATAAAATTGTAGAAGTAACTCTCCCTGTTGTCCATCTCCTTTTCCCTCACACAGCATCCCTTGAGGTGCTTTATCCTTTGTTTAAGCCCGTATTTTTTTAAGAGAGTCGTTATTTCCACAGGTTTAAACACCAGATCCCAAGAGAGACACTTCACTTGGATTTACAGCAGAAAGCTGGGGAGCTGCTGCAATTTATGGCTGGAAAATTTAAGACATCTGGCCCAGTTTTGTATTTTGCTTGGCCCGGAGTCCACCTGGGAAGACTCTTGCTCACAGTGTTGCATTATTTCTTGACCACAAACTGTAAAAAAAAAGCCACAACCACCAAATTTCAGAAGGGATTGAGCCACAGATTGTCCGGGCTCACATGAGAAGTCGGTGATAAGACTTTGTGGCTTTGTGGATGAGTTTTTACAAAGCCACCTGAGGATCCTGTGGGGCCTCTTGCTGGGTGGGACAAGGGATGGACACRAAGGGTCTGGGTGAGACAGCAGGCTGCTCCTCCTCATCCTTCATTGCTGCATGAAAAACAACAACTTGTTGGCTGAATAATTAAAAAAAGCTCAATGTGCTCTCCCTTTTTACCTTTTATACACCTGCACAGTGTGGCTGTAGCTGCCTCATTCCTGACAGTGTCCAAGGCTGGGTTTGTAATAAGTTGGTTCATGAAATCACCACATGCTTTATTAAAACAGTTTAACAGCCCCAGCACAATTTTACCCAATTTATAACACCTTCATATATCTAAAAAAAAAAAAAAAACAAAACTACAAATGTACAAAAAAAACTCCTACCTCCCCATAACCCCACCTACCAATAGTTGTCATAACAACCACAAAAAACCCCCAATAACAACACAACGTAGACATGATGCAAACCAATCAAGATCTCTAAAAACTTCTAAAAACACCACGTCAGAAAAAATATAAAAAAAAGAGCTCAAGCTACGTGCTGCACGATATTTAAATATTAATAAAAGCAACCCACCTAGCTAATGTATTAAGTACAGCAAGCCACCCGCCTAGCCCGCCCAATGCTGGTTTTAACTAGTATCTAGTTAGTATCTATTATCTATTTATTAATATTCTAATTAATAAATTGTTAATTGACTTCTAACCTCTAATTAGCTCTTAAAAATCAATTTATCACAGGTTGGACAGGGCTTGGAGCAACCTGGGACAGTGGGAGATGTCCCTGCCCATGGCAGGGGGTGGAATGAGATGGGATTTAAGGTCCTTTCGACTCAAAGCATTATAAATCCTGTGAGAAACATCTGAGGGAGCTGGGAAAGGATCTGGAGCACCAGGGGTGGCTGAGAGAGCTGGGAAAGAGGCTCAGCCCGGAAAAAGGAGGCTCAGGGGAGACCTTCTAGCTCTGTAAACTCCCCTGGCTGAGAGAGCTGGGAAAGGGGCTCAGCCCAAAAAAAAAAAGGAGGCTCAGGAGAGACCTTCTAGCTCTGTAAACTCCCTGACAAGAGGGGGCAGCCAGATGGGGGTCGGGCTTTGCTCCCAGGGGAGAGGACAAGAAGAAACGCCCTCAAGCTGGGCCAGGGGAGGGTCAGACTGGAATTCCCTCACATGAAGAGTGGTCAGGCCTCGGAAGGGCCTGTCCAGTGAGGTGACAGAGTCTCCACAGATCGCCTGGACGTGGCATTTAGTGCTCTGAGCTGGCGACAAGGTGAGGATGTGGCAAAAGTGACCCCAGAGGAATTTCCCCCCCTCAGGAGTTCCCGCCCTCAGGCATTCCCGCCCTCCAGCGCCCCCCACGTGACCCGGCGCCGCCGCACGTGACCGGCGCACGTGACCCGGCGCCATGGCCGCCAGCCGCTACCGGCGCTTCCTGCGGCTCTGCGAGGAGTGGCCGATGGAAGAAACCAAGCGGCAGCGGGACCTGGGCTCGTTCCTGCGCCAGCGGGTGGCACAGGCTTTCCGCGAGGGCGAGAACACGCCGGTGAGGGGGCGGGAAGGGCGGCTGGGAAGGGCGGCACTTTGGAGGGCGCGGGGAGCGGCTCTGAGGTGACTCTGAGGTGGCTCTGAGGTGGCTCTGAGGAGGGGTCGGGGTTGGGGACGGAACGCGGGGCTTGGAGCGGCTCTGCCCCTCTCTTCGGGGCTCTCTGGGCTGCACACCGAGAGGAGGTTGTGCTCGGGGCTCCTTGGGGCTTCATGGAATCGCGGAATATCCTGAGCGGGGAGGGAAYGGTACCCCAGGGGTGATGGAGTCCTCCCAGGAGGAGGGCAGGAGGTGTGAGCGCTCGGCAGCCTTTGGAACTCACATCCCGGGAAGATCTTGGAATACCAACCCCGGGTTGTGCCCAGGTCAGTGGTTTGTGCCTGGGTTGTTCCCAGGACAAATGATTGGTCCCCAGGACACCGGGTTTGTACCCAGGACCGCCTGGTTTGTGCCCAGGATAAATGGTTTATTACCAGGA